AGGTTAACTGGCTGGGAACTGTCTAGAAATCGAGTGCCTGTTCAGAATCAGGGAGGATTTGATTTTCTTATGTTGACAGCCCTTCCCTACCCAACCTCCACAAAGATTATTGGTTCTATTTCTTAAAAGAAAATTAAACTGGGCCAAGTCAGGAGAATGAAACCTCCTGATAGATCTCCTGTGATTCAAATGAGAATGAGGTGAGTAAGATCAAAAATAAGCATGTCAGAAGGACCAAAGTAGAAAGATCCGCTTTTGAGAAAGTCAATGTAATCACCTGTGTTTTGTACCTATGAAGTTCAATAATTGTTTCTAAAAGAATCAGTCCCTAGAGTTTGCCAAAATGTCTGGCAAAAAAGGTATGAGAGCTACTTATTATAAAAATATCCATTAAGACAGTGCCTACAAGTATTCAAAATTGTAGGGCATAATCACAATTTTTGTCAGAAAATCTATGTGAAAGGCTCCTTAACAGCAGTAACTAAGGCTTAACTACAGGCCTATCCTAAACACTTCCTAACACATTAACTCACTTGTAGGAGATAAGCTCCCTTTGCTCAAGACACGGCAGTTCGCCTCAACATGTTCCCTCAGGAGATTATTTCTGAGAAGCATTTCCTTGAGGATCTGAGCTTCTGCACTTGCCTATTGATGTGTAGGAATGCGTAGAGTGACTCTCCCTAGGGGGTGTGGAGAAACAGTGGAGGTGGAAAGCTGGGGGTGGACAGACTGATCTTAGAGCATTGGGTTCTATTCTCTGCCTTCTTCCCTCATTAGCATTATAATGTGTAACTTTACGTTGGGCGAGGGAGGACCAGGCTCCCTAATGTTTTACTCTAAACAAAATCAATTGTATATGTGTTCCTCAGCCTTCACACTAAATTGTAATCTTCAATGGTAGCTTCCTAATATTACTTGACTTCTTTGTATATGTGTTAAATTCTTACTGAATGTTGGAAAGTATATAAGGTAATCAGTAAAGTTTAGCGGGGCTGCCGACCAGAGCAAGTCCCGGTCTCACTTGAATATTCATTCCGTCTGCAGTTCTTTCCCCTGCCTCCCCGATCAGAATCTCCAAAGAACACACAACAACACTCACTAACTTCTCAGAGTTGTGAGAATTTAAGTACACATTTGCTAATAGCCATTTTACAGGAAAGAACACTGAGTCAAGATCACACAGCCCGGTACATGGAAGAGCAGCTCAAACCGTGTTAACTATGATGCCCTGGATGGTGGGAAAGCAGGTGAAACCCACACCGTCACCGTGGAAAGTGTGTTTGCCATGCTCAAGGTCTGAGGTCTAATTCTTTTAATAGGAAAAGACATATAAGATGTAGGAAGGTAACGTTGGAGATGCAGTCCCAGGTTTTATTTGCTTACCAAGAAAAATTACGAGTTGCACGTCGGCCGAGGACTGACAGAAACAGCTGATTCGGAAGCTTCAGGACAGAATACTAATTATGTACTCAGAAGCACACTTTATGTCATTTATTAATAAACATATAAATCTTCAGTGACTAAAATTCACATTTAGTTGCAAAATTTTTTATTTCTCAAAATGTAACACATTGCTTCAAAAAATAAAAAAAAAAAAATTCCTCTAGAAGGTAATGAATAACTGACCATTATAGCCTGTCCTACCCCAACAAAGAACAGTGAGAAGTAATACAATGACACGAGAACCTACGCTAAGACCGGGATGGAGTTTCCAGAAACCCCTGCTCCAGAACATAACCACAGCACATTCCCAACACCTGCACCTGAACTCCACAGCAGCTGATTAAACACAAAGCCAGCTCCTCCTCAGCTCTCCTGGTGTAGCTCTGTTAAGTTTAGTAAGCATCAAACTCTCAGAGTGCCAATAATAGCTTTGCCTTCTAGGCTGGAGTAACAGTACTAAAACTTCTCCAGGTGTAAGGAAGTCCTACTAGCTAAAAATCTCCAAAAGGTGATCTCTAAATTACCATTGCCAACATAATGGATCCAATGTTAAGATGAAAATGAGTAAGCTTTTTAACTCTTAAAATACATCATGAACAAGATTTACTGAATCATTTAGTTTCAGAGTAAAACATTCATCCGTAGGGTGGTACTATTTTCTGGAAGATTTATTTGACAACCATTTTCATCTTTAAATGTGCACAGCACAGAAAAAGCCAAACTAAATTATACTTTCCCCACTAGATTTATAGAAAGAGTCATGGCTGAACTACTTCAGATACCTAAGATTAGGTATCTTATTTAGATGTTATACCAAAACACAAAAAAATGCTAGTATTTTATTCATTTTAATCAAACACTTCATATTTAAAGGCACAATAGTTACTTTACTCCTCTCCTGAATCAAGCCTAGATTTCATCTCTATTAAAGAGAAATTTAACAATTAGCACTGCTATTGCGAAAACCCTGTAGTTCTGAACATGTTTTTGAATACACGATCAGAGTAATTTTTTAAAAACCTCAGTATTATGATGTTAGATTGGTAAATCCAACTTGAGATTTAGACTCTGCCAATTGGCCACAGTATTCCTCAGTCTGCCACATTCGGCCACTTCACTTCTAACAATTTAGTTCTTGGACCACGTTCAAGCCGTTCTTCGGCAAATGCATCTAATGTAGGCCCACTAGCTCACACATGTTATGATAACCACTGCCGTTACTTATGGAAGAGACTTACTGGTCCATTCTTAGCCCCTCCTTTTTCTTTCAAGTTACTTTCCCTTATACATGAATAAAATTACGAAAGGTGTATCAGTAAAATTCCAACAGTTCATTTACCACAATCCCATATTCTATGTAACACTTTTGCAAAGTTAAGATTTAAATACCATTTTTCATATCCTGAAAAAAGGTCAAATTGAACAAAAGCTTTTCTCATTTCTCATTACCCAGAGGATCAAAATGAAGCTCTAAAATGTATCTTCCTCCCTTCAACTTAAGACTCAAAATACCAGGTACACCCAGAAAATTTTCCCAAAAATCTCTGCCCCAAACTTATCAAGTTAGAGATACAGACATGAGAAGAGGGAAAACCTCAGAATAGAATTCTGATCAGGCTTTGCAGTACCTGGGTTAAATCTCTAATTGATACCATTCAGCTTCCTCACTAGCCTTAGGGGCTGTCCCCTTACTTAACTCCTGGTACAAGGGTAATTTAAAATGTATTTAAATATCTGTGTTCCCTAACAGAGTCATGAAAATGGGCACATTGGCTTTTCCTTCTATACACCTTCACAGGCTACCAGAGACTCAGCAAATAAATAGCTGGACACTTACCAACACAGCTGAAGCACCTGCTTCTAAAAACAGCGACTTCAGTTTCAGAACAAAAATAGCCTAACTAATTAAAGGAGTGTTGGCTATAGCTGCCGCAGATGGGCGTAACCACACCTAAAAGCATGCCTCAAATGCTCCTACCATAGGTAGGTTTTTAAAAAAATTTTCCTCCTTAGTAACGAAACTCCTAAATTTCCCAATCATCTTTGCTGCTAGGTTTAGTCATGAAACGAAATTCCTGCCAATGAAATGTAAGTGGAAATCTTGTGTGTATCTTTTAAAAAGGCTACTTTAAGGAAGGTGACTCAGCTGGAAGCAGCATTCTACTCCTTATCCCATTTGCCCCCTCCAGACAACAACTGTGGACGGTGCTTCAACGACTGCCCTACACCCAAGCTAGTGTGGACAGCAGCAGCCTGGCACCAGGACGGTGGAGCACAGACAGGGCCTGAGGTCCTGAGGACTCTGAGCCTTACAACATTAGCCCTGAGCCACTTGCCTCCACCATCTTTTATCTAACAGAGACATATACTTTACCTAAGCCACCATTTGGAATTTTCCTCTGTTGTCACTGAACCTAACACCACTTGACAGTGTTTCCAATTTCAAAATGGATGCCTGGACTGGCCACTACCTCTACGGTTCATAAGTCAGAGGGGGTGAACAGATCACTCCCCAGTGCCCCAATACTTAAGATCATAAAATACATTAACTGCAGCAAACTCAAAAAGGTGAGAAAAATGATTTTGAAATTCGGAATTTTACTCTAATAAAAATATGTTACAAAACCTCAAGAAAAATCATTGGGAATGGTGTGGGCTTCTGTATTGTAAAAGACACAATAATGGTGCCAAAGGCTAATTAGATTAATAAAATTGCAAAAAAACCCACAAAAAACACAAAGAAGTAATTACTAAAATTTTTTAATAAAGGGCTGAAGCCACTGGATTTGGAGTACAGAGACCTAGATTTGATTTTAATCTTAGATAATTTTAGGAAAATAATTTCACACAGCAGGGCCTCAGCTCACAATTAAAGGAGATTAATTAAATGATCTCTAAGGAACTTCCAGCTCTAAAATTCTCTATATATTATAGTATATTAATTTAAATGAAAAACCAAAAATGTAACCACAAAGGTAAAAATACATTCCCCACAATGTATAAAGCAAAAAATAATTCCTCAAATAAAAAACAATCACATCCTTCTCCAGATATGAAGCGATAGTACCTTTCAAATATCAGTTAAAACATGTCTTGTCACCACCAATGATAACTTACTAGGATCGCTGTGCCTGCTATTTTGGCCACCCAGATACACTCGTCTCCAACTCTTCAACTAACTCTTCCTCTTCCTTTCCAGATCGGAGGATGTATGTCTCTTCTTCAGTGAGGCCTGGCCTGACCTCTAAAACAAGTTCCTCCTGCTATTTTCTGCCTTAACACACTTTTGAAAAACTTTGTAGCACTTAGTGTGATTTTCCATTTATAGAATTATGTCTTTTACTCAATGTCTCTCTCTCCCACTATTCTAAAACCTCCATGGGGACGTTGCCTATTTGCTTGGTTTTGTTCTCACCATTTTATGCCTGGGCTTAATGACTAAAACACAGACGAAGTTCATTTATGCTAATAACTGTTATATGAAAGAATCAGCAGATAAACACAGGAAGCAGGCAGTCAGGAGCTGCAGAGACCGTGAGGAAGCGTCGCCCACTCACCTCATTAAACACGGGGTACATGACTGCATACAGGGGCATAGAAACCATGGAAGTGGTCTCAGCTTCATTCTTCATCTCTTCCATTGTCATCCTCATTCAAAAGCGAACTACAGTAGAGAAAGCAGTGCGGAGATGGAGAGGAACCTTCATTCACTGCAGGGTTGCTTCTCTCTCTTTTTTTTTTGGATAAAAGAATGGGCACCAACTTCAAAGACCTGGTGAAGGGAGACGAAAGAACACAAATTTATTACTATTTCAAGAGAAATGACAAATACCAGTGATTTTCTTTTCCAAGTCACAGAGCTCCTATCATGTGAAAAGCTGATTTGCTGACACATCTCACTTGTGAAAGCAGCTCTGGTTGACATCTGCCCTCTGCTACAGCTAACCTCCCTGCTCAGGGACTCGTCACACAGCCAGACCACAGCACCATGGAGCAGCAATGTGTCTGATGCCACCTATCTCATGCAATCTAGGAAAAAGTACCAAGATGCATAATTACAGCATTTATTTGTAATATAAAATTATAATCAGGAAATATATGATGTATAGTATGTATAGGGAACCAAATTAAAGAAATAAGAAAAAAAAATCAAGAATTAGCTTTCTTTTAAAAAGTAACACATGACCACAACCCCTCTAAACATGTTGGAGCTTTCCTGTCTGTGACCTCAAACCCACTCCCTGTCTTCACAATAATAAAAGGCCAATTCCTAAATTTTATTCTATAGGGCTGGAGAAAACCATTATCTGATCAATACTGATTTAAGTAAATATTTTGGTCACAATACAAAGGAGAGAATGGAGGAAAAGAAACTAAAGGCAGGGAAAACTTTAGAGACCACGTGTACCTAGGAAGAGGTACCCAAAGGCCTGACTAGTAAGCACGAGGAGATAGATACATAACCAGTGTGGCCCTGCTATTCCTATTTACGTAATGTCACTTAGTGATCAACTTTTCCACTTGGAAATAAATTAGGAATCTTTTTTCATAATTGATAAACCTGGAACAAAGGACGGAGGCTAAAATACAGAGCTGCCAGTCAAAACGGAAAAGGATGGAATGATCAGAAGGCACGGTAGTAATAAAAAAGAAAGCAAAAAAGAGCAAAACAAGGCAATAACAGAACTTGAAGCGCTATCTCCCTGGGTGACAAAAACAATCTTTTATTTCATAACTATTTTGCTGATTACCTTTAGGCATGTTATTAGACACACAGCAGCAAACAAGACAGGACAGTCTCTGATCCACGGGGCTTATTCCAGCAAACAGAAGATGGGAAATGTACAGTTGTGAAGAGCACACAAGGGTGGCGTCAGGATGCTATGTATCTTCTTTAATTAAGATTTATTTCTTTACATACTTTTGTACAGACCTAGTGAGAGTTATACAAGTGTGTCCTTCAGTTTAGGTCTCCCCTTCTCTCCTCTCCCCCCGTGTGATCTTCACACACATGCGTCCTCGTGTGCACTGACCTGTGATCCATTAGTTCCACCCGGGCACTAGAGAGACCTGCGTCCTCGTCTGCACTGACCTGTGATCCATTAGTTCCACCTGGGCACTAGAGAGACCTGTGTGCTCGTGTGCACTGACCTGTGATCC